GCTCCGTCTGTCACTCATCATGAGCATTCTTCATTTTAGAGAGCGCTCCTGCTCCAGACACATCCACTGCTAAAAAGTCCAAGTCTGTCTCCAGTGGAGAGGATGAGGACAAGGAGTTGTACACTCTCCAGGTACAGCCCGTTTCTGCAACTGGATGAAATCACAATATTAGGTTGGTTAAACTTTATACTTTCTAACTTTGTTGCAGATTCGGGGGCGTGATCGTTTCTTGATGTTCAAGAAGCTCAATGATGGTCTGGAGCTCATGGATAAAATGGGGTAAGGAAAGTCCCGTAAACTACGCCCTGAAACGATCTTTGGACTTTGGTTACATCAGTTACGATGAAGCTCACGAGGTTTTTCCCTTGGTCAGGATTTCAGTCGCAGTTGAGAAAAGAGGTAAAACAAGCAGCACGCGCAGGCGTTTAACATAAATGGATAAATTAAAGTTGATTTTAGTTTAAAAATGACAAACTGAGTTACTCAGAAGATGTGAATATTGTACTTCAACTTTCCCCTCACCTTGCTGGAAAAATCAATACGTGTGTGTTGGGAAGTTTAGAAATGGAAACCTGTACATTTAGTTGATGTTCCTAAAACAAAATCTACTCCGAGTTGAGAGGACTGGGGTTGGACGCCCTTTATTGCAGAAAAAAACCACAAGAACACAGGAAGATGAGAACCAGATATCTTCATCAGTGTTAAATTTACTTTAATTTCTTTTCTTTCCCCTGTAGGCCCAAGAAAAAGCAGGAGGTTCCTGCGCCCTCCAGCGGGAAGAGGCTGCTGAAGGGGGGAAGCGACAGCGACTAGTTTACCGTCTTTCATTTGTCTTTTGGTTTATGTTCTTTTTTTATATACTCTATTATTAATTTTCATTTATAATGGCATTATGTTTTCATTTAAGTGTAGTAATTTTTTTTTCTTTTTATATTTTTGAAAATGATTTGTCATCACGTAAAATAATTGCTTAGTTGGGTTTAATTATGTTGAATTAAGTATTGACCAGTTTCAAGCCAAATAAAGCTCTCCATGGTGTTAAGAGGAATTTATTTAGTTTACTAAGCTATATTTTCTTATTTCCTTTGTTTAAAGATTGGATAATTTCAATGTCTTATCACTTATGATTTATCTCTTGGAAACAGTTTATTTTTTTATTTTTTATAAGTAGTGTTGGTAGAAGAGGGGCTGGCTGGATCACCCCCAACACTTGAGCCTTGTTTTGTGTTTTGTGGCCCTGTTTTGAAAACTAATTTGACACTGAAAAACCGTCTCAGTTTTCCTTCCAGTTACTGTATTCAAAATATGAATCAAGTCGCATCTTTACAGCAGTAAAGTGGATTTTTTTTTTTTTGTTTGTTTTATTTCCTCCTCTAAACCAGTTGAACCACTTTAAGGCACTTTGGCTTGACGTGACCAATCACTGACTAAATGACCACTTTAAACTTAACACTGCCAGAGAATATTTAGAGGCATTTCTGCAACTTTGTAGTTTAGCGAAAGGTTTCGGTTTCCTTTATATTCTTTAAATTTCATGTATTTTGTACTGACTTTCTGTTTTATACTCGAGTTTTGAGCTGAAATAAACACATTCAGTCTCAATGGCTTCTTGTGTTCTGTCGACGCAAATATTTGAATGATTTGCATGTGTGGAATATGAATGCAAAGCAGCTGCATCTAATGATATTTTTAGGTGAATAGAGCCTTGTGATGAGCGTCATATGTGACGCTTATTACCTGTTGAACATTTTGCTTCATTACTCATTTGTCTTTATTCTGACCAAGAGGAAACATAACAGCCAGAGCGAATAAAGAGACGAATCATCAGCATTCGGCGCTTTTTTCTTTCTATGCATTTATATATATTTTTTTAATATGCTAGTGTGAATGTGTGTTTTGGTGTAAATTCAACGGGACGCCACCATGGGAAACTTAACGTTCATACATAAACTGTGTATTTCTGCTTGTTGGGGTGAGTACCATTGTTTTAGGAAAGTTTTTAGACTTTTCATTATGATTGATCCGCTGATTATGATTCTAGTAACCTGTAAGCGAACCAGGAAGTTGAAGCTTTTTAATTTTCTGCTTCAAGTAAGATTATATACATGTCAGTAAAATAATTTTTAATAAGATTTGTTACATTTTGAAGTGATGCATTTCAATCTTGGAATTGTATTTTTTCACCCTTTATCCTATGGATGCTTATAATCTGAAATAATCCCGGTTGAATACCAATTTTTCCTGGTTAATGTGAAAATAAACATCTGTACATGACTAAATCAGGGTTTGTCTTTCTCAGGCCTTCTGCTGATGTACTCGGCTGCAGAGAGGCAGTACTTCATTAGCCCGCACAATGCCAGCTGGGCTGACGCCAGGAACCACTGCCAGGTACGAACGGACCTGAGATTACCTCCAGAAACTTTCTGAAGCGTCCAGCTGGACGCACTGAGAGGCAACAGATTAGCAGGGCAATTAAGAGGTTTTGTGTTTAATTTCAGCAACATATGGATGCAATGACTAATTTATCTGGATTATACATTATCCCAAAAAAAATTATGATCAATAATGTTGCTTTGGGACCAATTTAAAGTAATATAACTACAAAGACGATTAAGCTTTCATTTCTTGCAGACATTTTACTCTGGAACTGGAAGACGTTTTAAATATCCAAAATAAAACTGAATCGAATGTTTGAAAACAAAAATTATCCTTCAAAACGGGGAGCCAGTTGAGACTTTCAGATACATGCCTTGTACTTCAGGAAACGAAAACAAGACATTTCTTCAAAATGTCTTGTTTTAAAGTAATATGTGCAATATACAGACGTTTAGAAAAAAAAATATTAACATGCACTATTTAAAAGACAAACCTTTACTTCCTCATTGCTCAGAGCTTCACCACACCTAACTTCATTACGAGTTTATGACGGAAACATTTTTATGAAAGAGGCTCTAAAGTCATGTCCATTGCAACCTAAATGCTGACAGAAGAAGCTTCTGTAAGCAAATGAGAAAATGTTACTGCTTTAACGTATAAAATATCAGTTCAGGGCAACTTAAGTTTGAGAAGACATTTAATTTTAAAACTTCACAAATTTTCTAAAATCCTGTTCGGTTTGTCATTAACCTTTAGCAGTTCGTGTTCTTAAATTTAGTCGTAATTGTCCTTTAACAAACATCCTTTTTACATATTTATATATTATATATTTAATTTATTTTTCATGTTTCCTGGCTGTCATGCATTCTTTGAAAACTATTTGCACATAATTTGCATTAAAAGGCGGCTGGAGCCCACATGCAACTCGGTCATCAGCTCAGCCTCAATACAGCTAAATAACACCTCCTGTATTTTCTTTTTAAACAAGAGCTTAGTGCAAACATTTTAATTTATTAGGGTTTATTCATTGTTTGTGAGATGCCATGGTTTTTGTTGCCATAAACATTATTTTTGCCATATTTGCTGAAGTGTTAGTAGGCTGCTAAGTCTCACTTTGACTACATTCTTGGGCTCTCATCTTTGTTTTTGTAGTTGAAGCTTTAACACAGTTATGTCTTCTATGTCTGCTCAGGTCTGCTTTAAAGAGATGGTGACTCTCACGCCACAAAACATCCACGTCATCGCCAAAATAATAAACTCCACCCACTGGATTGGCCTCCGCAAGTACATAAACTACAATGACACCTACAACGAAACCGATGACTACGACTACGACTCGGACTACGACTACTACAACTCCACCAACACCTCGTCTAAAAGCTTCGGGACGCCCTGGACACTGTGGGCCAATGGGGACCCACTCATCTTCCAGAACTGGTACCCCGGCTTCCCATTGTTTAAATCCCCGTTGCCAAAAATAGACTGCTGCAGCTGCTCCTGCACCTGCCCGGCACCCCCCAGGTCGACGACCCTCTCGCCCACCACCAGTATGACGAGTCCGTCGCCTACCGGGTCGACAACGGGCTTCCCAACAGGTTCCGTTGTCGCCGAATACTCCAGCAGAGACTCAACAAACATCACAGTGACCGAGAGCTACGACAACACGACCGACTCTACCAGTTTATATGACGTTGAAACCGATATGGACATGTTGACGAACGCCACAGAATGGCTGAACACCACCACATGGCTGAATGCCACAGAAGGGGCCAACATAACACGAAGAGCCAACATCACCCAGCCGTGGGAATCCACCACAGCTCCCGCACGTCACACCACAGATTCACCGTGGACGACCACAACGCAGCTGCCGATAGTTTCAACATGCGAACGATCGCCCATGCTGCCTCCCATCATACCAGAGAATAATAAAAACTACATCGAGAACTCGTGTGTGGTCATACTGGCCTTTGGGCCTTGGGTTGAGAGAGAGTGCTCTGAAGAGCTGCCTTTCATCTGCTATGAAGGTACAACAACTTCTGTAGTTAGTGGGAATACTGGAGGCCACAGAAAATACGAATATTGGCAGAATAAAGAAAATTAGTACTCATGGCAAATTGAAATTGAAAGAGTAAGTGAGTCGAAGCGAACTTGTTTTTAGTAGCAAACCATGAGAAATGGTCTCAAAAAATTGGATTGTTGTATGTTTTCAGTGAGATGCCCAGTAAGCAAAGTGAGAACTGTCTGTAGCTATCAGGTCCTCTTTGTGAAAGCTGGAAGGTGAAGAATATTTCGTGAAGCCCCAACTTTAGGTTCAACGATTTGATGATTTTGTTTGTTTATCCTAAACTCAAATAGTTAAATTAACTTCGACTTTATAGCTGTGACTCCATGTTTTCCTGTTACTTTTCCACATGTTTTCTCTCTCGGCCTAAATCTACCAGTTTTTGTCCATCTTGTTCTTGCCTTCAGACCGCTTCATGGGGGCCATCAACGTCTCCAACATCACATCCTCGTCTGCAGCTCTGCAGTGGGATCAGGGGCCCGGTGACATCAGCCACTATCGCTTCGAGGCGTTTTCCCGTGAAGGTTCTTGGAACGTCACCAAAAACATGCATAATTTGAGCTACACACTCGACAACCTCATTCCAGGAACCGGCTACGTTATCACAGTATTTGCAGTGAAGTGTGAAAGGGACCTCAATCCACTCAATGGCTCCTTCTACACCAGTAAGTTGTTGATTATTGTGATTAGTAAATAAGCTTTGACCACCTTGGAGAGAAGAGGAGAGGGCTAATAAATTCTTTGAATCTGAATATGTTCTTCTTGTCTTTAAGGTGTTTTGCATTCATGTTTCTGAATCATGAATGCAATATATCTCCCCCCCCCAAAAAAGAATAGGCAACACTTTATTTGAAGGGCTGTGCATAAGACTGACATGACACTGTCATAATCATAACACCTGTCATGAACATGAAGAAGTCTTTATGAATGACTGTGACAGTTGTCATGAAGTGTCATTCGGTAAATAATGACACTTTTAATGCAAAGTTGCTCTAAAAGTTGCATTAAAAGTCCATTAAAAATGCCAACTTTGCATGATTTTGTAAATAATGACAATTTACCAAGATTCCTGGCAGAAGTCAAACTCAAACCAAGTATCGAGTCTGGATTTTGAGTACGAGTTGTTTTAGATCATCAAATAACTTTAGTATAAGGTTTGGATAACCTGAGTAAACAGAAAAAAAAGAGATGGTGATGCAACAACAGAAAAATCTGTCCAAACCATTTTTAACCCAAGTGAAAAATTTCTCCCTAAACCTGAGAAGGTTTGTATGGTGATTTTGAATACGGATATATTTAATTTTCTGCTCACTGTGAGTTTTCTACACAGCGTTAGCTCTGCTCCAGAGTTTGATTTTTGCAAGAAATACACAAAGTAGATGAATTATCATTTTAATACCTTAATGCCACCTTTAAGGCACATAATGTGCAATTGTGTCCCACTTAATGAAGCAAAGCATGTCTGTTTTTGTTTTGCTATCACTTTCACACCTTGTAAACCCATTGAGATAAATACTATTACTGTTCTACAAAGCAAAGACGAGGCGGCTCAAAGTATCGCTGACGTACCTGTAATGTGACTACAACAAAAGACAACCTGAAAAGACTAACTCTGGGTTTGTTTCCTCCTCTCAGTACCTGGAGAGGTCCAAAACCTCAATGTGACCAGATTTACAGAAAACACTATCAGTATGAACTGGACGAAACCCAACGGGAACTATGGCTTCTTCGAAGTCATCGCCTTTTCAGCTTTGGGAACTAAAGACAAAATCAAGACTGTTACGGCAGAACACATGGATTTTGATAACCTGACACAGGGAAACGAGTACACTTTCGTTTTCCGCACAGGAGTCGACGACAGGTCCATGTGGAGTAAGAACATCAGCATCTCAAATTGCACCCGTGAGTTTACATCTGTACTGTTCAGGAGGGGAAACGAGCAAGAACTTTCCGGCTCCTCGTTTCCTTCAAACGCTATCTGACATTCAAATCTGAAAAGGCAAATTACGTCCATGTTTCATGCGGACCATGACACTCGCCTGCTTCTAATTGGTTTCATCTTTGGCAAACACAAAGAGAAGCTTTGTCCGTTTTATAACAGCCCGCTGTCTCTCTTTCAGGGCCCGGCAAAGTGTCCAACCTGACAACTGGGAATATCAGTGATACGTACTTAGAACTCCAGTGGAATCCGCCAGAGGGAAATTACATAGGCTTTAAAGTGTTGGCCAATGATACACACGGGTTCGTCCCCTTTATATTCCTATATTAAACGTATTTCTCTGTACACCATACTCTACAAATTGCTGCTTTCATGTTCTTGTCCGTTGTGTTTTTCAACACAAAAGGAGCACAGTGATTAACATCTGCTTACCGTACTAGTTGTTTCAGGACAGTCTTTGTGTGTTGCCTCATAACAGGGAGCTGAATGTTATTGTGGAAAACCAAACAGGTCTTTTGGCCAAACCATATAAAGTGAAAGTGTCCGGCCTCCAAAACGGCACTAAGCTTGACTTTCGTGTGAACGTCTTGGGCGTTTGTGGCCTGGAGGGACAAATTGAAAACACCACTACATACACCGGTAACTGATTCATCTGTTTAGAGACTCTTTACAGCAAATTCTGTTGCATTAATCTGATTTTTTTTCACTTATAAACAGCTCCAGGACCGATCTCAAATTTAAAGTTGACAGCAGAACACAACAACATTGATGCTAGCTGGGACTTTACTCCAAATCCTGGAAGTAATGTAACCTTTACAGCCAAGCTTTGCTTGGATGGCAAAGAAGTAGATAAATCAGTAAACATATTGAATAAAAATGTGAAATTTGATGGCCTGAAAACTGCCACCCAGTACGAAGTGAAGGTCTACACAGTTCTTAATAATCAGGAAAGCCCAGAAACGCATAGCTTCATTTTCACCCGTGAGTTTGATTTTATTTGATCATTAATAAAAACATACTGCATGCTCAGATAGCAGCTGAACGTTTTGTTATAACATGTTTTTAAAGAGACGTAAGTAACCTTGTCTTTCTGCCTTCAGTCCCGTCGCCTCCCACTGGAGCCAAAGTACGCAACAAGACAACAAATTCCCTCACCTTTGAGTGGATTCCCCCAGAAAACTCATCAGCAAAGAAATACATCTGCACCCTAAACTCTACATTCTGGTCCTTCTTCGACTCTCGAGTTGAAAACACCACCATGTGCACTTTCACTGGCTTGCAGTCAGGAAGCACATACGACTTTAATGTGTACACTCTGAGCGATAATAAGACGAGTAATCCTGCAAGCTGCAATGGGACAACAGGTGAGAAAATATGCAGTGCCTCGCTGAACAACATGGACTCGCTCAGCTTTTGTCACGTTTTAACTCCAAACTTCAAAGTGTTTTAAGATTTCATATGGTTGACGAACACACAGAACAACATGACTGTCAGCCTGAAGGATGGTAGAGGGGGGTCATGTCTGGGTTTCCCTTTTGGACCCGTTACCCTGGGATGGACGGATTAGTTAAAGTCCCGGCCCTCCGATGGCGTTAATCTTCATGAGATGTATTATGTTGCCAAAAGTATTCCTTCATTATTAATCCTTAGGATTTGTTATATCAGTCCTTCCTTTGCAGCTATCACAAAACAAGCAATGAACAAGGCATTTCGTCAAATGCCATCATCAAAATCGTCAAGCAAAATCACATCAGATATGTTGATCAATGTTCCAGCTATTATTAATCCGAATGGGTTTAGCCTTATTTTAAAGGAACTCAGAGTTTTGTCCTTTTTTCTTTTTTTTTTGACGTTTTCTGGAAGTTTGTTCCAGGTTTGTGGTGCAGGGAAGCTGAATGCTGCTTCTCCATGTTTGGTTCCTGGAATGCAGAGCAAAGGAGTCAACGGCAGATCTTTAATATGTTGTGGTGCTAAACCGTTCAGCTACAGGGAGCCAGACCTCTGCTTACTTTGTGCTTCAGCTGGCTGATCTTTTTTTTTTTTTTTTTGAATGCCTCTCATTCCCAATCACTTCCACTTTACTCTAATGCTACTGAGTTTCTCAGTCTACCTGTCCAGCTGCTGGGATTTGTACACCTGAGGTCATGGAAGTGGTTGAAATACATAAAATCAATTATTAAGAGGAGGCATCCAGTACTTTTGGCAATACAGTGTAGTCCTTATGTTGTCCTTTTCGTTTACTTAATCCACGTCCCTCATTTTATTAGCAGACTCTTTACAATGCGGCGTAATGGTCAGGAACACTGCGTGACCTAGAAGAGTAAATAAAAACCATCTAGGGTCCAGAGGAAAACATCGGAAAGTCTGAGAACCTGCTGATCAGGTTTAAATCCTCTGTAATATCACCGGAATAAATGATGTGTTTATGTCTGGTGAACTTGGTGGCCAAAAACTGAAAGCGTGCCATTTGCAAACTGCACACTAATGCAAATTGTTCACATGAATGAGAGCCTGTCTTCGTGTTCGGTTTCCTGCTTCTGCTTCTCACCGTCTCCACTTGTCCTGCAGTTAAAGATCCAGTGGAAATCAGTCTGTCAATGCTCTGCAGTTCAGAAGTGTCTCTGTACTGTGAGAAAGACGAAACGAAGAAGATTGTATTTGAGGAGGTAAGTCAGCCAACCTTTGGGCTGGTGAGTTGAAATTTAGCTTTTACCCAGGTTTGTTGAATGTCTGGTGAATGTTAACCTTTGTTGTCTGTTGCAGCTACAAAACCATTTCAAGGAAATCCTGGGGGACTATGTTTATCATGAAGTCGAGACCACTTCTCCATAAACTAAGGTGTAAAAATGTTTTATTTTTGAGACACTATTTGATATATAGTTACGGCAAGAGAGCATTTAAACAAGTGTTGTAACATTTTGAGGCATTAGAAAAAAATATCTGGTTCACTTGCCAACTTTTAAAATACCAACTCGGAAAACTTTACACTTTATCACTATTATATAAAGTAAGACCCTGTTACTCTTTCACAGTTTCTATTGCTGTAACAGCAGATGAGGCATTCGGGTCCACGTTGAGAGAAAGCTGACTATGAAACACCAAACTCTTTATTGCTACCTGTCAATTTAGGGAAGGGTTTTAGAGCTTTTTACAGGACGTTTCCCTACCAAACATCAGTTTATTTATCTAATACCAGTTCACAACAAATTTAATCTTATGGCACCTTACAAGACAAAAGGACCAAATTCCTGTTCATGATAAATGGTTTTCCTGGAATGGTAAAGCATTTCTCCACTGTACAGCATGTACACTAGCTTGACTGACAGCGCTAAGCCGCTCCTCCTCACTCTGATTGGTTGCTGAAGTTCCGGTAAAGCTATCAGCTGAAAATCTGGTGGATTTCAGATCAAGTTTTTGGTGCATCTTCAAAAACCAGGAACAATTTGGGTTTGGGATTTTTCAGACTATTTCCACTTTGTTGGATGAATATTGCGTAAAAAAATTATAGATATTGTTGTCTCAGTTCATTAATTGTTTTTAAAACAAGATACTCAAAAACTCAAACTTTGTTGTGAAATATAAAATTCCAAAATCACACTTTTATCTTAAGATTAACTAATAAATACTTCTTTGAGTCACAATTTAACGTCATTACAGCTGTTCATTTTTATACATATCCACCAGAGGGCGCTATTTAATATTCAATTTAAAAGAGTTACAATATTGTAGGCTTAAGTGGGTTAAATAGGTTTAAATAGATAGATTTATTTTAAAAACAGACCCATAATACACATGTGATTCTTCTTCAGAGCTTTTGTGGGTCTGAGAACTTTATTTTGACGATGCAGAAAATTAATATTACTGTCTGCCAATGACCCATATCCAGGCCTGATAAATATGTTTCAATTACTCTTATTAAATATTTTAAAAAAATTGTTCTAAAATATTTTAAACATTACTTGAAATGTGAAATTAGTTTTACAATTTCAATAAAGGACATTGGACTTGCCTTTAAAATAGTTAAGATGACAAAAAATGCGATAAGATATTTTATTTAAATGCCTACGGCTGAAATGACGGATCAATATGTATTCGTACAATTTAAAAAGAAATAACTATTACAAATATCTGAACGGGCGTGAGATGCGTTATCTTCAGCTCTTAGTACTAATAAACAGAAATTGTGCTATGTTATCTTTCTTTATATTTTAATATTTTTACCTGACTCAAATGCTGGTACACAATCTCTCCACATTCTTATTTTTCCCCACAAAATATTTATTTGTATCCAGTCACAAGCCTGTTAATGTCGTTATAGACAGAATTAAATTCTGACTTTAGCTGTCAATGTGACGTAAAACAGTTAACGTGCACAACTCTCTGCATTTATCTTAGTAAACCATAAGTAATGATGCTTGTTTTTAGGCCTGTTTTCTGCTCAACTTAAGATGTGACATTAACATTTGAACCGAGGAAAGAATGGTTGAGATTTGAAAGGACAAATGCTGCTTTGCTGACTTCGCTACAGTTATGCTGTAAAAAAAAAAAAAAAGAGTATATTTATATGGAAATGCAAAGTGATACTACTGTTTGCTGCTTTTGTTGTCCTGAATCTGACCAGTTTGACATTACTGTTGTGATAATCCATTAAATTTGTTTTTTGCTGATTAATCTGAGTATGTTGGATTTGTGTCTTCCCTTAAACCCGTTCGCTCTCTTTTGCTGTAAAACCAGAGTAAGTTTAGTTTGGACTGACACTGAATGTTGCTCCAGCTGGTTGGCAGAACCAGTCAGAACCTGCTGCTCCTGCTTGAGCCTCTAGGGGGCGTCTGTTCTTCCTCTGCTCTCCTGTAAATCCAGCTCTGCTTTGATTTGTTAAACCGTCTCGTTTTTCTTACTTCTAGTGCGCTCTGTGAATTTATTCTGCGAAACCCTGTGGACTGTATGGCAGATCTTACTGGGAAAAATAAAAGCTGCATCATTTTCACTTTCATAAATTCCAGTTTAATGACTGTTTTGTTTCTATGTGAATACATGAAAGCCAAAACAATATCTTTTGTTAATTCGCAATATTTTGGGTAAACACAAATAAAAACACACCTGTGGATGAATTTTAAAGCAACGCCACAAACGCACTGCTTCTTCGTGTGACATGATGGAAAAAGAAATCAGCTCTCCGGAAGGAAAGTGTCGACCGTCAAAAATCTGGTTCACTCTCCAGAAAGTGCAGTTCACCTGTCAAATTATATGCACGCATGACTGCCATGGAAATGTGCAGCCATCTTGTTAAGAGAAGAGATGGGTACTGCATTCTAGAGATGATGTGGTTTTATGCACGAAGGTGTGAAACAACAATGAAACCACAGTAAAATACCCTATGAAAATGCTGCTGATGTTGGTAACAGGATCTTTGCTAACAGTGAAACAAGTTGTTTCTAGTGCAAGTATGTTTCTAGACTTGAAATAAGACAAAACAAACTTGCAACAAAGTTTTCAGCAACGCATGCGATTGTTTTAAGTCGGTAATTCTTGATTATTTATTAAAAAAATTCAAGTTCTACCTGCAGATTTTTTTTTTTTTCACTTGCATTAAAAGCAAGTGGTTTGACAGTGGGAGTGGTCATTTTTTTAATCGATATTCAAGAATTATTGACATAAAACAATCTCATGTGTTGCTGAGAACTTTGGTGTATGTTAGTTTTGTTTTATTTCAAGTGTACGAAGATATTTGCACTAGAAACTAGACCATAAATACAGGACCACATTTGGATTTTTGGCTTCCCTTAAACCTGTTTGCTCTCTTCTTTTCCAAAACCAGTCCCAGTTTAGTGCAGCTGGTTGGTCAGTCAGAACTGGCTTCTCCTGCTGAGCCTCCTGAGGGCGTCTGCTGCGTCAGCTTTTCGGACATAATGACCATCGTCACATTCAGAGGAGGTTTACAAGCCAGAAAACCTCCTCCAACTGTTAAGCATGGGGTCAAAGTATCATGTTTGGGTGTTGTGCAGGAGGAGGGACTGGTGCACTTCACAAAATAGATCCCAAGAGAAGGTTGTCACATGGGAACATTTGAACGACACCTCAAGAAATCAGGTAACAAGCTCAAATTTGGACACAAATGGAACAAAAACCATGATTGTATCGCCAAATTAGTTACAAAGTGACTTAAAGACAACAAAGATAAAGGTACAGACAGAATATGGATATACTCCATTCTATAACAAGGCAAGTTATGTCAACTCTTAAAGAAGTTTTTCTTCTTGTGTTGTGGTGGGACTCTCCAGCTCTAATTTAGCAGAGTTCAGATGCTGCATGTTGCACCTACACACAGTCTCCAGAGCATCAGACAGCGCTGGCTTTCTTAGTTCAGGCGTAACGCTTTTCACACTTTGGTTGCTTCCTGTGTAAACTGCCTCGGATGAGAATTAGTTTATTTTTGTTCACTCATACCAAAGAAGAAAAGAAAAAAAAAAACTCAAGAAAAACGTGTTATCACATGCCACGACGCCACAAGTCAAAAAACACATGCGAAGTCAAGCTAAAGGGACAGATGGCTGCAAACGAGAGCGCAGACGGATCACTGAGAGCTCCAGAGGATTTCAGAAGTTCAACATGCGGAGGTGAGCTGTGAAATGGATGGAAACGCACTCTGCTGGAGGAAGATGGAGATTTAAAGATAAAACAGATGGCGTTCATTGTAGCTGAGTTTCATGCATCCACAACTGGCCTAACTTATTTGAAAATAGCTGTAGTCCTAATTTACAACATCCAAATGTAGTTTTTATTGCTCTGATGGGCTCATCTCCAGGTCTGCCAGATGTAAACATGTGGATGTGTAGGTGAATGAGATGAGTCTCACTTATGCGTTAAAGATCAAATTGTTTTCTGGTGGCAGCAGCTTTTCCGGTCTGCGTTGTGTCTGCCTGGCGTTCCTGCTAAACTACGTAGCCTTCTCTTGGTTCCGGTTGCCACAACTTCGCCATGTTCATTCTGTGGATTGAAGTTTAACACACAGCAGATGTTTAAGATTTTAAATTGTAACCCCCAAGACCTCCAAAGAACAATGTCCTCTGTGCATATACAAACATATGCTGATGTAAGCTCAGCTTCTTTTTGTATGACTTGTCCATAGCAAATTTGTCAGAGTAAGTTCTCTCAAAGCGAGTGTGTTCTTACCTCCTGCTCATAGATGTAAAAAGTAAATTAAAATGAGGAAAGCATCTGGAATAGGTTCTGTTCCACAATAACTAGAGTTATTATGAAATACTTGCAGACTGGTTGTACAGAGACAGATTAATGTTCATCACACCAGGGATTGCATTAGTCTAAGAAGACTCATTGTCTGAGTTCAGGTGAGCCAGATTACACCTCGTTGTTATCCTAAGATTTTACAATTCCTTGTTGGGGAATAACAAGACGTTGCAAGTCCCAAAAGTCGGCCTCAGCAGCAGAAAATGAGTCATGGGGGAAATAGACAGTAAGATTTGAAGGGACTTTCTAAGGCAAGAGACTATAGATACAGAATTAAAAAAAATTGTTTATTTTCTCCGTGTTTCATCAGAAACAATCAGATACGACTAAACCTTGGAACCTGAACATCTTCAACATCAATTAAAATACATGCAACAGCACGACAGAAAGCTTCATCAGCGGTCCCACAGTAACCAAATAGCTTCAAAAATGTTTTAAAAATTTAATTTTTTCTACATTTGAAATGGACTCTGTTTGCTTTTATGTGATCTCAGACCACAGTTTATTGCAATTTAGTTCTGTAAATTAAAATAATGTAATTTTTCTGTTACAGATACAAAATCCCTCAAGAAATCTCACCTGGCATGTAGAGGGGCTGTTGCTATAGCAGCAATATCTCTGATCACCGCAATCATTTTGTCCTCCATTTTATTTGGTAAGCAGCAGAATGAGTAATACGAATTCAGGTGTTTGTAAATGTTACATTTAAATCATTTTTATTCTTTAGAAAAGTGGTGGGAAAATGAGTAAATAATAAATGAAGAAAATCGTGTGAAATGGTCAAGTCGTTTAAAGTTTAATACTTTTTGGTATTTTGGATTTCTTATTTTCCTCCCATCAAAGCCTCCCATTAATTTATTCAAAACAACAGGGGGAAAAAAACATCAATAAAACAACTTAGGATGTCCAAATACATACTTTGATGAGCTCCATCTTTTAGAACTGCGTTTGCATTCAACAAATAAATACAATCTCAGTTTACGTTGTCTAAAGTTTTATAAACTCATGTGCCAGCCATATGGGGAGCAGCAAGAGAAGAAGAAGATCCAACTTTTCAGAATAAACAGACAGAAAACCTGCAGCAGTGCCAAAAACAATGTGAAGACCTGAAAATGATGCTGCACTTGGCCACTCAGGGTGAGTTTACAATTTATTATCTGGCTCAAGTCTCAGAAAACAATGGCATTTTTAATCTGTATGCAAAAGTAAATACAGCATAATAGACATTGTCCTGACTTCAGCGGTTCTGTTTGTGTCTGCGCTGCGTGAAGACTCCAGATGCCGTTTGTGTCCAGAAGGCTGGCTCTGGTGGAGGCGTCACTGCTACTTTTTCTCAGTTGGACTCCAGGAAAACCGTCGGTGGAAAGAGAGCGCCGAGTTCTGCCAGGAGCACAACAGCAGCCTGGTTGAGATCAAAGACGATGCAGAGATGGTAACTAACAGAGCACCACGGGAGAGAGACAAAAACAAGATGGCTGCGTTCACACTGCAGTCTGAAGTGACACAATTCCGTTTTTGTTTATTTGTTGTTGGGTTTTTTTTTTTTGCCGCAATTACAGCACGTAGCTGCTCTTTTCACGACAGCCAGAACAACATTTTTTTTTAAATGCCATTTCTTCCCCCTCCACATTTGAAACGTATCCGATTCGAATGTGATACTCAACAAACGTCACTATTCTCACTAAACAACAACCATGGCGAAATATAATAAGGATTAAGTTATTACTGTGCTAGCTCCAACTCCAAAATCGTTAGCATCCACGTTTACTTCCGCAAACACTTAGCACGAGCATTGTTTCTTTTGTATGGCGGTTAGCAAAACACTGAGCACTCTCTCTATGTGTGACGTTATTGCGCCCTCTACCGAGCATGCAGGACTCTTTCAGGTCGTCTGCAGTTCACACCGGAGAACACTTTACAAGTCGCTGTTGGAAGCGTGAACGACTACGGCAAAAAGAAAAAAAAGAGAGAGAGAAATCCGATTTGACAAAAAATCGGAATTGGGTCACTTCGGGCTGCAATGTGAACGTCACCTAAGTTACCTTTAAAAAGTAACAACTGTGTTTTTTCAGCTTTGAGGACACAGTTCTCCCTGTGTTTCTCTCTTTAAACATCTCTGAGACTTTATATATTGACATTTTTTTGTCTGACTAAAGAAAGATAAAAAGTCTACCTTTTTCCTGAAATATAGGATTTTCTCCAAGGAGTTATGTGCAATGCCACCAAATTTCCTTTCCTGTGGGTGGGACTGACGGACAGCCAGCAGGAGGGACGCTGGCTGTGGTTGAGTGGGAAGGACGTCCAGGACCACTTACCGTAAGTCTGAACTTTCTGGCTGAAACAAAGAATCATCTGGTCCATATTTTTCTAAGAAATACTTCAGCAACAGGAGCAAGTTTAAAGTTTGCTCAGCACAGAACTTTTACAATACAATGTATTTTAATGACAGATAACTGTGTTTTCAGTAGAGACTAGTTTATTTAAAAAATAAATAAATAAGGAAACCGCTCTATGTATATAAACGCAGACAGGAAGAGTTTTGTTTTTACTGAAAGTAGAAATGACATGCACATAAAACTAAGAACAATCAATGCATAATGATGTAGATGGAAAGCACCAACTCAAGCATCATAGTTTCGTTTCCTTGTCTTTTTATAACTGCAGAAGTGTTGCATTCAAAATACAACGGGAAAAATAAATGTTCTGCTGATTCTTTCGTTCCTTCATTAAAGCTTCAAACGCT